ATATCACAAAAAACAATGGTTCACGTGTGAGTCATAAATTAAACAATGCCAATTTCTTGATGTGCACCACATTTGTATATTAAGGAAACACCTTCTTGGATTAAATGGTCAACATCTGGAATCCATGTGAAAGCTTTAAAAAATTAGCCCTGTATTTTCTTAAATTTTCCCAGTGTAGAAAGAAATCCCAAATGTAGGCCATTTTTACAAAAATTTCTCAGCTTCAAATATTCCTGCAAGTAGTGCATTGCTTGGTTGGTACAAAAGTTCAAGCCAAAGCGATGTAAGTCAAATTCCATTATAGAAAATGCAAACAGAAGTGTTTTGTTTTTATTTTGAATATTTGTGCTGTAATACTGTAGTATACAGTTATAGTAGGTTGAATAGTGGTTCCCATAACACTATGTCCAAGTCCTAACTCCTGGACTATGAATGGGGCCTTCTTTGGGGGAAAAAAAGAAAAAAAAAGCCTTTGCAGACACAATTAAATTTCAATGGATCATCCTAGACTTTAGAGTCAGCTGTAAAACCCATGACAGGCGCCCCTGGAGAAGGGCAGAGGGGAATTTTGATACAGGTACATAGAAGACCACATAAAGTCAAAGGTAGAGACTGAGTCACAGCCCAAGCCAAAGGACCCTTGGAGGCACGAGAAGCTGGAAGAGGGAGCTTCCTAAAATCTTCAGGGGGACCATGGTCTTGCTGACATCTTGACTGTGGATTTTTGACCTCCACAACTGTGAAAGAGCACATTTTTGTAGTTTTAAGCCACCCAGTTTGTGGGAATCAGTTGTGCCAGCCTTAGGAAACTATAATGAAAATTCATAGTAATGGGATTAGCTATATATCATTAATTATTTGTTACTGTATTTTTTTTAGAATTTGACATGCCTGATTTTTCAGCTGTCGATTAGAATCAACACTCGATGGTTCTGCTTTATGTTTAAATAACAATAAAGGCTCCCTTTTAATCTTGTGATGTACTGATCCCCAAAGATCCTCCCCATAATTTCTGTTGTTCAAGCAACTTGGAGAAAATATCCGTGTGACTTCTGAGGGATTCTAGACTAAAAAGGCAAAGCATCCTTGTCATCTTCGTCTTCAGACGGTGGCCCTTTTGTTTGCTTGACTTCTGCACATGTTGTGGACAGAAATACATACTTGGAAAAGCTAAATAACTTATCAATGTGACTGTAAGGCACAACTCAACAGAGGGAGAATATTGCCCTACATGAGTAAGTTTGCTGCTGGCTATGTGCTAAAATCCAAGTGTGTACACTCCCATGAATTTTGAATTAATGGAGTTTTGATAAACTTCACAGTGGCTTTTTGCGAGAAACTCTCCATTTGTTATATTTGATACTCCTTGACATTCAATGCCACTGAAGCTATTAGCCCAAATTCCCTCACTTTTTATTCTGTCTTTCTGTTTGCTGAGGTTTCTTTGAGTCAAAAGAAATAAGCATTAGATTGTTATTCTTCAGTACATTTTATGGTACAGAAACCCATGATCATTCTAGCCATGACCTGCCAGCCCCTGGCCTCGTCCCCTGGTCCACCCATATATAGATGATTATTCCAGAATTGTACACCTAAAACTTATATAGTGCTATTAACCAATGTTACCCCAATAAACTTAATTTTAAAAATATATAAATAAAAATATGCATTACACTGGGGAGTGAAGGGGGAACAGAAGGAATGTGTAGATTTGACAAGCATATTTAATTGTGATTATGAAAAAAATTATATGTATAATAATCTTCAGGTGTAGAGAAGAAGGGGTGAATGTGAAGAGTATGTGTGAAATATATGTCCAAATCTGAGCACATACCAAATATTGGTTGGAAAGTATGGCCTGTTCATGTGTATAGATTTTTAAAATTTGATAATCATTGGCCTAAATAACTGGGTTTCCCACTCAAACGACCTCTTCACCAAGAAAAGAGAGTTGCCTTTTAAACATCAATAATCATGGCTTTCTCTGTCCCTACATCCAGTGATCATGCCTCACCTGCTTACATACTTCTAGCCCTTTATACTTCGCTTTATAAAAGTCATGTTTATAAGTGCCAGAGGATGATGCTCACCATTTTTTTCCTTCTCATCTGCTTAAGATCCACTTGACAATTTACTTAAAATTTTTTTAACTACTTTTGCCTCCAGGCTTCTATGGTGCTGGTACTTACTAGAGCAGCGTTTGTCTGGAAAGCAACAAATACGCTAATATGTGATCACATGGAGAAAAGGAGTCAGCATCTAGATAACTGAGGAAAATATGCATGTAAGTGCACTGTAGGGAAAGGGAGGGTTAGAAGAACATACATTGAGAGTGAAGGGAGACTCTCGCCAATTAGAATAGCAAGCTCAGAGGTTCTTTCCAACAATTCCGGCCAAGTCAAGGCACAGCAGGCATAGGGGCGGATGCCACATGTATGTGCTTGTGTGTTTTCTAAGTCCTAATATATTCCTCCAAAGAGTACTTTTCCTAAGCTTTAACACATTCCAAAGTGGAAACCGATTAAAAGATTTATTTGTATATTCGAATATCAAGCCAGCCTTACAAAGAGGAGCCTCTCCTCAGTCTCAGAGCTTGGGGCGAAACCCTGGGAGAAGATCATTTAAGTACCAATTAGCCCACTTCTAAAACCTGGGTAATCAATGGCTATGACAGTGTCTCTCACTTGATTTTCAAGTTATTCTCAATAGATACTGAGCAAAGATAAGCACTTTATAATTTTTAGCAATGAGCGATAAAAATCTATTTTAATTTCACACTCCTTTGGGATTAATCTCTACAAAGGCTTCATAGTTAAAGGCTTTTGCAGTTCTTTACTTTCCTTAAACTTCAAAATGAATAGAGAAGAGAATACTGAAGAGAAAACTATTTCCCAAATAAGAGCTGGTAAAGTACAATGTGGTTCTGAATTTCTTTAATAAACTTCACTGCAATTCTCAAAATGTTATGTCTTCCAATGCATCCCATAGTGTTATGCACCCCCACGTGGTTGGTAAGATTTCAAGAGCTGAAACATGACTGCCAGGGTCCAAATGCCATTCATTAACCTCATGGCCATGGACAATCACCCTAACCATACAGCCTCAGGTCCTCTGTCTGGGTAACAGGAATTCTGACAGCAATATTGCCTAGGTCATAGGGTTACTGTCACGAGGACTGAATAAGTTAACCCACCCTCAGGGCTTAGCACAGTCTCTCACACATAATAAGGACCCAATAAATGTAAATGAGGTTAACATCGTATAAAGAAAAGAAACCACACTATAAATCATTTTTCAGGGAGATCACTTCATAAGTTATATAAATGTCGAATCACTATGTTGTTCACCTAAAACTAATAACTTAAACATTTTTTAAAAATTAAAATTTAATTTGTTGTCAGAAGATCCCTGCCTCTACTTCCCACAAAGAGCCACTGAGAAAAGCTTTCTCTGGGATGACTTTTAAATAAAAGATCTTGTGATAGAGACACAGGCCAGCATATACCAATTCAAATTCCATTCACAGAAAATAATTTCCTGATGCTGACTAAAACTATTATCTTTTCTTTTTAAAAATTTTTTTTATTTTTCAATTACAGTTGACATTCAATATTATACCAGTTTCAGGTGTGCAGCATAATGGTGAAATATTATCTTTTCTAAACCCTCCAAGTCTATAGTTAAGAACATAAGCAAATTAGAAGTCACTCTCTTTATGCAGCTTTCTCACTAACAAAATTCCACATCATGAACTTCTAATAATGTTTCTTGTCCACAGATTAATAATAACCTAGTTCAAAACCACATCATTTCCTTTTTCTGCCTCATTTCCTTCAAAGTAAAACATAATTTTTTCTTGGACCTGGAATAAAAATTCTAGATTAACTAAGCAAATCGTTACCAGAAAGGCAATTTTATAATACTACTATTTCAGGGTACTCAAAAACATTAAACATCTGTGTGGTGTTTGTTAATACATAAAACAACCTCATATATATGTAGTGTAGAGCACCTAAGTGGAAAATTGAGTCTCTAACTAGAAGTGCAAAGAGAAATCACTATAGATTGCATCAGTATTGTGTTTTGTAGTCCAGTTGGGAACATTTAAAAAATTGTGACATTTTTTTAAGTCTTGGCCAGAGGTCACAAACCGCTTGGCACAGATGTTTCATTTGGCCAACACATCACTTTAAAAAGTATTAAACTCAAATATCTTTAGGCGGGTCATGCCCTTCTTTTACCCGACAGGCCCTAAAAGGCATTTTACATTGCAAACCCTGATTAAGGCCCATTCTTACAGGGAAGAGATCAAAAGATAATCATTGGTTAAAAGGGTACCACCCTCATGATGGTGACTGGAAAATTAAGAATACTAGTAGTTACATTCAGAAATTCTTCTCGTTTGCTTGTTGGATTAATTTTAAATACATACTTTCAATGTATATATCTAACAGGGGCTCAATTGATTAGGATTGCTGAGTTGTTAAAACTCATTTACAGCTGGATACTGAACAAAACCAGAAAATAGAAAAATTTTATAAACATGTTCTTATATAAAAATTTGGACTCAAGTTCAACTTTTCCATTATTTTTAAAAAATTAATGACATTTGGTCAATGGTTGTTTTTTCTTCATATAAAAGGAAATGAATTTGCTCCATGCAGTATTTAAAGAGGAACTGGTTTCTGCTAATGTATTTTAATGAATATTTATATATATATATATACACACATAGAGACACACCATATATACACATACTCAGACTGAGCCAACTATTACTCTCATTTTTTTCAGTCCTATCGTACTTTCTGGGAGATTCTATTCCACTTACAAATTAAATCTGAGTCTACGACCCAAAAGAGTTTCCTAAAGCATTAGTTTGTGCATCACTCCAGAAGTGTTAGGTTTTAGGCACCAATGAGGCACAAGCTAGCTGGATTTAAAGTCCAAAGATTATTAGTTAAGTGTTCTTTTCAGCTGACATGGAGGACTGCTTGCATTCAGACGGCCCCAGTAAGTACACCCTTGCCTCCAGCTTCTTCAGAACACAAATATAAGGCACCTTGCAGTGAATTTGCTTCCGGAGGTTGTGCCCCTGAACCCTCCTGTATGAGTCTTTCTGGAGGTTCTGGCGAATTCTCCCTCCATCTTGGACTGGAGTGCGGTTGGGGGACGTCCCAGAGTGAAGGACATGGAGAAGGGAAGCCAAGGGCAGGTCGCGAGAGGGGGTCCTCTTGAAGGCCTGCTTCTTGGATACACCTGTTGGAAAGCACTTCCTTTTCTTTGGAATTCCGCCATTTCATCCTTCTGTTCTGAAACCAAATTTTCACCTATTGATAAAATAATTGGATAAAATAATCACTTACTCCATATTAATTCACTTCAGCATTTTAAACTGTAATTTCTTCTGTTGTGCCTTCTACAAAATATACCTTATGACGAGAGCCAGCCTAGCAAAAGTCCTTGTGGCTTTTCTCATGGGCTCCTTCAAAGACATCTGAGAAATTACTTCAGTATAATATCCCCACATACACTTAAAAAATGAAACAACTGTGGTAATTTGGTTACATCCTGTAAGTCTGCCATCTTTCAAGACTGATTTAACTCTCTTCAATATTTTAAATCATTTAGTCTGCGCTAAAGTATTTATTCAAAGGAAATGTTATCCACTAGTAATGGCATCTGATTGTTAATTTTGTACCAGGTGTCAGGCCATGCACTCGATGTGGATGACATAATCTGATACACCCAATGACTGCAAGAAGTCCTCATTAACATGTAAGAATACTGAGATTCAGAGCCATAAGTCAGTTCAAGGTCACACAGCTCGTAAAATGGAAGCACTTAGACTAGTGCCCAGGCTCTTAGAAGCATTCAGATCTCATCGGGAACTTTGGGAGACTAAATTAAGAATACCATTTATATTGTTTAGATAAACTTCAGGCTTTCTCTCAGCCCTGGTTGGTGTGGCTCAGTGGATTGAGTACCAGCCTGCGAACCAAAGAGTTGCTAGTACAATTCCCAGTCAGGGCACATGCCTGGCTAGGTTGCAGGTTAGGTCTCCGGTAGGGGGTGCATGAGAAACTTCAGGCTTTCTGCAGTTTCCGAGTTTGATTACTCCCAGAATTTATCAAACTCTGTTCAATAAATAACAATTGACTGTAATTAATCCAATTACAATGATGGTTTCTAATTTAAGCCATACCTTCCCACCACCCCACTGGAATCTCTTTTTACTATTAACCTCCCTCTTTACCTACAGTGTAGTCAACTGTGCCTGAGCAGAAAAGTTCACAACTGGTTTTCTGGTATCTTAAAACCAAATCACATTGCTTTCCTGTAAATCATATTACATCCTTATACCAATAATTTAGATATCTATTTTTTAAAAAAACACTGAAAAAATTGTACCTAAAGAAATAATTATTAAAGTTTGTCAACCAAATATTTCTCCAAGTGAAGGAAAACATTCTGAGGTAGTCTTTCTAGACTGGTAAAACAATTTCTTCATTCTTTCAACTTGATTTGCATATTCAAAATGACTACAAATGAATTCTATGCCAGACAACTGAGTCCAAAAGACTACCATCCCAGTTACAGCCCTGTGATTAAGGCTTTGCATAAGAAAACAGTACTAATGTGTACATACGAGAGCATTTGGTTTTATTCATGAAACTTGGTTATTATCTGCAGTGGGCTTTTATGCCTAGAGAGCCTGCCAAGTTATTTCTAATGGGTTTTCAACTAAGCTTGTTTTTGCCTTTCTCATCACATTCATTATTTTCTTTGTCTGTATCCCCAGAAATTTTTTGAGTGATGCCTCAACTTAAAAAATCATGAAAGGAGTTTCTTCACTATCAGTGGTATTGGGACAAATGTATATTTGCAGGAAAAAAGTTCTGTTTCTCAACAAAGACAAAAACAAATTCCACACAGATTAAACAACTAAACATAAAAACAAAACTATAAAAGTTCTAGAAGAAAATATAAGAGATTATCATTATACTCTTGGGGAGATGAATGTTTTTAAAGAATGACATAAAACACAGAGGCTACAAATAAAAAGGTAGAGCTGACTACATGAAAATAAGAAATTTATGTACAAATAAAGACACCAGAAATATAAGGAAAATCCACAAACTACCCAAAAGAATTAAACGGAAGGACGCAGAAGCTTTTTAGTTTTTTACAGTTCCATTTGTTTATCTTTGCCTTTGTTGCCTGTGCCCAAGGAGACATTTCTAAATAGATATTGCTAAGACCAATGTCCGAGTTTTGTATGTTTTCTTCAAGTTTTATGCTGTCAGGGTTTTTTAAATTAAAAATTAGATTTTCTTGATTTTTAGAGACAGGTTAAGAGAGGGAGAAAGAGAGGAGGAGAAACATCCATGTGAGAGCGAAATATGGATCTGTTGCCACTTGTACACACTCCACGCAGTCATGTGCCCTGACCAGGAATCAAAACGCAGGCATGTGCCCTGACCAGGAATCAAACCGGTGGCCTTTTGCTTTGTGGTACAATGCCCAACCAACTGAGCCACACAGGGCAGGGTTTCAGGTCTTATATTTTAGGTATTTAATCCATTTTGAGTTTATTTGGTATATGGTGTAAAAAGTAGTCCAGTTTCATTGTCTTTGCATGTGTCTGTCCAGTTTTCCCAGCATCATTTATTGAAGAGACTGCCTTTAACCCAATAAATAATATTGCCTCCTTTGTCACAGGTTGATTGACCATATGAATGGGGTCTTATTTCTGGGCTCTCTATTCTGTTCCATTGATCTATATGTCTGTTTTTATGCCAGTATCATACAGTTTTGATTATCATAGTAGTAGTATAGTTTCAAACCAGGAAGTATGATATCTCCAACTTTGTTCTTTTTCAAGCTTGTTTTGGCTATTCAGATCTTTTGTGATTCCATGTCAATTTTGGGAGTGCTTGTTCTTATTCAGAGAAGAATGCCATTAAGAGAGGATACTTGCAAATAACACATCTAACAAGGGGTTAATATCCAAAGTATATATGGAACTCTACAACTTAAATTTAAAAATCAGATAAAAAGCTAGCAGAGGACCTGAATAGATATTTCTACAAAAAGAACATACAGGTGGCCAACAGACATATGAAAAGATGCTCACCACTACCAGGAAGTCAGGAAAATGCAAATTAAAACCACAATGAGGTATTACCTCACACCCTGTCAGAATTGCTATTATCAAAAAGTCAATAAATAACAAGTGTTGAAAAGAATGTCATAGAAACTTCATGCAGTGCTGGGATTATAAATTGGTATAGCCACTATGGAAAACAGTGCGGAGGTTCCTCAAAAAATTAAAAATTATTCATCCAAGGAAAAGAAAAACTCTAATTCACAAAGATATATGTACCCCTATGTTCATTACATTATTTACAATAGCCAAGTTTGAAAGCAGCTTAGGTGTCTGTTGATAGATGAATGAATACAGAAGTTTGTGTGTGTGTGTGTATATACACACACATACAATTACTAAAATTTGTGGCACACCAAAAAATAGATATTTTGCCAATCTGACAAAAAGAATAGGTATAATTTTGATTTGATTCATTCGTACCTGACAGCTATTGTTGTGTTGGCTGTTGTCACTTTTAATTTGACAATCTAAGGGGGAAGAGGTCAGTACCCCTGACTAAATAGTCAGGTGTTACACATTTTAAAGATGCTTGTGACACATCAGTTGAAAATTGCAGACTTAGAGGGTATTATCCTAAGTGAAATAAGTCAGTCAGAGAAAGGCAAACACTTGCATTTAACTTATATGTGGAATCTAAAACAAAACAGAGCAAATGAACAAACAAAACAAAACAGAAGTGGACTCTAAGACGCAGAGAGAACAAACTGAGGGTTGCCAGAAGGGAGGTGGGTAGGGGATGGGTGAAGAAGGTAAAGGGTTGAATAAGCGGTATAAACTTCCAGCTTAAAATAAATAAGCTATGCACAGTGTACAACACAGGGAATATAGTCAATAACCTTGTAATAACTGCATGGTGATGGATGGTTTTACTAAACTTACTGTTGTGATCATATCATAAGCTATGTAACTGTCATATCATTATGTTGTACACCTGAAATTAATACTGTACACCACCTGAAACTCAAAAAAAGCATGGACTCAAAGAGATATTTGCATACCCATGTTCTTAGCAACATCATTCACAAAAGCCAAAAAATGGAAGAAACCCAAGTGTCCATTGATGGATGAAAGGATAAACAAAATGTAGCATACACACAGAGTGAAATATTATTGTGTGTATAAAAAGTAAGAAAATTCTGACACATACTACAACGTGCATGAGCCTTGAAGATATTATGCTACATGGACTAAGCCAGTCACAAAAGGAAAAATACAGTGTAATCCCACTATTCCAGAATAGTCAAATTCATAGAGACAGAAAATAGAATGGTGGCTGCCAGGGGCTTGTGGGAGGGAGGAATGGAGACACATTGTTCAATGGATACGGAGGTTCAGTTTGGCAAGATGAACAAAGTTCTAGAGATGGATGGTGGTGGTGGTTGGACAACAATGTGAATGTACGTTATGCCAGTGAATTGAACATTTAAAAAAGGTTAAAATAGTAAATTGTATGTTATGTATATGCTACCACAATAAAAAAGCCACAAACTCGAAGACGATTTTTGCCCCACTTACAACAGGAAAATGTTACTAACCATAATATTCCAAAAATTTTATTAACAGCCAAAATAATTGCCACATATGAATGAAAAGACAATATGATTGGAAAAAAATGGTTCATCCATGAAAAGGCCAATACACAGATTAAAAATAGCCAGTAAAATGATTAACAGACCCTCAAGTTCTGGTATTTAGGGAAATTTTTAAAAAAATCATTGCCAAGAAAGTTGGCAACATTTTTAAAAGTTATAAATAGTGGAGAATTTGCAAAAATGGACTGTGTTATTAAGAGTGCAAATTCAATATAATTCAGTATTTTAATGCAATATTATATTTGGAAAAGACCTTTTTAATCTATCACAACTTAAAACGTACATACCCTTTCACATATAAATCCCACTCCTGGTTCCCTATCTTACAGAAATATCTTAAAAGTGCATAAAGATATGCAACAGTGAAACTTGGAAGTGACTGAAAGTTGAGAATGCTAAATGAATTATGACATATCCATGCAATTATCTGTTAAGAGATACTGAAAAAGAATGAAGTGAATCTGTAAGTACTGACATGGAAGGGTGCACCCTACGACATCTGACTTGGGGAAAAAGGCAAAGTGCAAAACAACAGGCATTGTCAGCACATTTTTAAAACAGCCAGAAACTGGGAACAATCCAAATGCCCACCATCAAAGTGAATAAACTGGTATGTCAAGTGATGATGCCCAGCAATGAATACGAACGAATGTCTGCTACATGCCACGACAAGCATGAATTTCCTAGACATAATGTTAAGTAAAAGAAGACATATACCAAAGAATAAGTGCTAAATGATTCTATTTATATAAAAATAGGCAAAACTGATCTATGCTGTTAGAAGTCAGGGTTGTAGGAGCAGCAGGTAGTGACTAGGAGAGAGAGGCACAGTGTTACTGGCCCAGGTAATGTTCTACTGAGTGATCTGTGTGCTGCTTATACAGATGATTTGTATTGTCCTTCAGAAAAAGTCAAATTATATGCACAGGATCATCCCATTTTTCTTTAAAATTATACATACACAAAATTTTAGGTCTCATCTTCTTAATTTGTAAATCAGTGATAATAAAGTAGCTATTTCATAGGGTCATTGTAAAGATAAATGACACCAAATGTAAGGGCACGTGGTAGTCATCATGTGTTTCTGTTATTATATATTAGTGCATATGCAACACACACAAATTTATTTTTTTAAATATATGATATGTCATAAACTCAAACAAGAACCATTTAAAAATGATAGCAGTTATTTGACAACGGAGGCAAGAACAAACAATGGGGTAGACAGTCTCTTTGATAAATGGTATTGGGAAAATTGGTCAGATACATGCAAAAAATGAAACTAGGCCACTAACTTATAGCATACATGAGAATAAATTCCAAATAGAGTAAAGACTTAAATGTAAGTTGTGAAACCACAAAAGTCCTAGAAGAAAACACAGGCAGTAAAATTTCAGATATTTCTGGTAGCAATATTTTTGCAGATATATTTCTTAGGATAAGGGAAACAAAGGAAAAATAACAAATGGGACTACATCATACTAAAAAGCTTTTGCACAGCAAAGGAAAACATTAACAAAATGAAAAGGGAACACACTTAATGGAAGAACATGTTTTCCAATGATATATCTGATAAGGGGTTAATTTTATAAATATATAAAGAACTTATACCACTCAACACCAAGAAGTCCAATAACCCAATTAAAATATGGGCAAAGAAACTGAATAGACAATTCTCCAGAGAGGACATACAGATGGCCAATAGACATATAAAAAATGTTCAATGTCATCAGAGAAATGCAAATTAAAACCACAATGAGATATCACTTCATGCCTGTTAGAATGGCCATCATCAATAAATCAACACACAAGTGCCAGTGAGCATGTACAGAAAAGGACCCCTGTGCACTGCTGGTGGGAATGCAGGCTGGTGCAGCCACTGTGGAAAACAATCTGCAGTTTCCTCAAAAAATTAAAAATGAAACTGCTTTTTGACCTTGAGATCCCACTTCTAAGAGTATATCCAAAGAAAGCTGAAACACTAATTTCAAAGAATATGTGTACCCCTATAATCACCGCAGTGTTATTTACAATAGCCAAGATCTGGGAACAGCCCAAGCATCCATTAGCCGAAGAGTGGATAAAAAAGCTGTCGTAAAGTTACACAGTGGAATACTACTCAGCTATAAAGAAAGAAGGAAATCTTACCTTTTCCAATAGCATGGATGGGCCTGAAGATTATTATGCTAAGTGAAATAAGCGAGTCAGAGAAAGACAAATACCATGTGATCTCACTTATATGTGGAATCTAATGAATAAAGTGAACTGATGAACAAAATAGAAACAGAGGCATAGATACATGGAACAGAATGACAGCTGCCAGAAGGGAGGGTGGATGGGGGACTGGATGAAAGATGGTGATAGAATTGAGGGAAAAAACATGTATATCTAACACATAGACACAGACAACACTGTGGTGATAGCCAGAGGGTAGGAGGTTGGGGCAGGTGGAGGTGGGCACAGTGGGAGGGCAATGGGGACCGAAAGAGACTTTGCTGGGGGTGAGTGTGCACATGATGTTTCATTGAGTTGTACCCTTGAAATCTGTATGGTTTGGTAACTGGGGCCACACCAATATATTCAGTTAAAAAAATGACAGTAGTAACCAAGGAGTTGGATTGTAAAGTGAATAGATGAGTTTTAATTTTTAGCTTTACTAATATCTCTTTTGTTTGAACTTACCAGAAGTATCATGTATCAATTGTGTAATTAGATACATGTGCAAATAAGAAAATGTTAAATTATTTCTGAGATGTTCAGCAAATTCAATAAAAAAGCATTCATTCCTGAGGCACTTGAATTTTTAAAATAATGTAATCATTTATGTAAAACTATGTTCCTATGGATAAGAACTGGAAGATAACATACAAACAGGAAAACAGTTTGTCTTCTTGGAATTTAGAGAATATATGCTCATCCTCTTCATACTCTTTAATATGCGTGCTGCATTCTCTTTTCAATTGTCAATTTTTAAGAAGACCTTATGTACTATCAGAGATGTTCACACTTTCTCAGAGCACTACCAGATGAAACCTAGTCACTTTTCATCTTTTAATACCTACTTCAAGTACCTATCCAACCAAAGAACCCCTGACCTCCAAAACCTGCACATTTTCTCCTCCCTGATTCTGGAATTTCTATCTTTTTAAAAAATTATTGTTCAATTACAGTTGTCCCCATTTCCCCCCCATTTCTCTCCCCTGCCATACACACCCCCCGCAACTTCCACTTTCAATCCTCTCCCTGTGTTGTCTTTGTCCATGAGTCCTTTATACGTGTTCCTTAATGACCCTTCCCTTTCTTTCGCCCGCTATCTCCCTCCCCTCTCCCCTCTGGTCACTGTCAGTTTGTTCTTTATTTCCATGTCTCTGGTTCTATTTTGCTTGCTTACTTCTTTTGTTGATTAGGTTCCGCTTATAGGTGAGATCATGAGGTATTTGTCTTTCACTGCCTGGCTTATTTCATTTAGCATAATGCTCTCCAGTTCCATCCATGCTGTTGTGAAGGGTAGTACTTCCTCCTTTCCTTCTGCTGCATAGTATTCCACTGTGTAAATGAACCACAGTTTTCTGATCCACTCACTTACTGATGATTCTGGAGTTTCTAATCTATACCAAGGCCATACAGGCCAGGTCTGCCAAGCTCCCTGTGGTCCTCAGGCCTCCCCATTCTTCTGAGGATCAGGCAATCCCATCACTAGACTCCCCACGTGCATGTGGGCAGTTACATGACTGTCCTTTCCAGACATGGGAGTTACATAAGGCCCTAGAGATACATAACTTTGAAGACTACTGATCTAGCTCCTTTATTTGGAAGTATATCTAGCCTACCAGGTGATGTCTCCTATACTGTTGTTATCTTACACTGTTATTGAACTGTTCATGAGCTTCTGTTTTGTCTTCCCAGTTGGTTATATAAATTCCTGTCATGCAAATGGTACATCTTAATCAGGATTTATTGATATTCCCTCTTACTGTTTACCTGGAAGCGTCTTGCAAATGGTAGACCACCCAGATATAGCTACTGATTAATCTGTCATATACCCAAAATTGCTATGTGACATAGAAAGAATTTCTCTATTGGTCCCTGACTTTAAAGTTAGAAATTGAGGTACACAGCAGTCAGTTAAGGTTATGAACCCATTAGTACCACACAGGAGCAAAGCACAGACTGGCTGACGTAGGCCAGTGACCCTCTGCCACACCGCAGACCGCTTCTAGCAACTAGAAAAAGCTGAGGGGAGGCGGGGAAAAAGATTGCTTCCCTAGGGAAAGCAAGCAGGGTTAAAGAGAGTTTCATCCAAAAATAACTAGTTTAAATAAAATCCAAAGTTAGACACCAGGTCGTTTGTATCAATGGAAAAACAGAGCCCGGTGGTTAACACAGAGCCTCTGCCAGCCCTTCAGCGCCTTTAAGTTAATACAGAAAACCCCAGTGGATGTAGCCCTGTACCAGGACAGCCAGCTTGAAAAGCAGAGCACCTGCCGTTTCAGTCATTGTCATCCCCCTTGGCCAAGTGTCCTTGTGCAGTGAACATCCTTCACAACCGTACATGAAGGCTCTAGGTTACGGAGAATGCGGACTCCACAGTCAGGGGGGCCTGCCGTGGGACACTGGGCCTACATTTACCTTTCTATGTTTCCCCATCTATGTAATGTGGGTGATTACAGTGCTTGTTTCATACGATGATTAGAAGGGTTACATAGGAAATGCTAGTACCTTATACAGTTAAATCATTTATAACCAGCAGGCCAAGCTTTAAATGGAATATTCTGTGACCAAAAGGTAACAGCATCTCATTCAAAATTATATGAAACATCAATGTGCAAGAAGGATGTGTAAGTGTTGCAAATTTGAGATTACTTAATTGTACTTGACATAAACCCAAAGTGCAAAATAATGAAATTATTAAGAGGGATTTATGAGTCCCTCATTCATACTTTGCTTTTGGATTGAAAATGAAGAAAAAGATGGGAAAATTAGTTCCTTTTTTGTAGGAAAATAAGTAGCGGGCTTTTCTAAAAACTGAACAAACTATTTAATGATGTAAATGCTACATCCTTAGCAGTTATGTTTAATTGGGAAGAATTAATAAGGCAAAAACCTAGACCTCTCAGCAAATGGACCTATTTCCAAAGAGAAATTGTGACATATATTTCCACCCACTAAAAAACGTATGAAAATCATTTCAATAATGCTTCAGGATCCAGCCTAGTACAACAAGTATTTGCCACATGGATGGTTTTCATTGTATTCCTTCAGAAATCAGGAGCAGTGAACATGGTCCTGCTCCTTAGTACCTGTGATTCCTTCAGTCCCAAGTTGATGGCAAGTTTCTTTCGGTCTATTTTGCTGATATATTTCTGCTTCTGAAACATTTTCTCCAGAGCCTTTCTCTGGTCCTCAGAAAAGACGGCTCTTCTTAAAATACCCCTCCGAGTTTTGGAATTAGAGTCCTGTGTCAGGAGAGGCAGCACATTCTCCTCTCCTACAAGGGAGAAAAAGACACAAAAGCTTTAGTGAGGAGAAGTCAGTCTGTCTTTCCCAGGGCAGTACCCTCCTTGTCTGTACCATGGCTCAATTTCCTTGTTTCTGCACTCTGCACACTTAGAGCAGCACCTCTTTATCAATTTTGGTCATGGACTCTGTTAAGAATCTGAGAAATGCTCTTTGCCCTGCCAGTTCTGTGCCAAGTCAGAAAGTCCATGGTCCCAGGTAACAAAATTCCAATGCAGAACCAGTAGTAGGTGGTTTAAACAGTTTGTTTTCTCTAATTCTTCATTTACCTGTTCATTCATTTATTTTCTCAAAAAATTTTTCAACACTGATCATATGCCAAACACTGTTCAATGCTACATACAGAGAAACAATATAGATGTGTTTTATCACACACATTACCTGTAAAATCTAGTGAAATGTGTCTATTGAACTAGCATCACAAATGTAATAATGTATCCCTAAGCATGGTACTTAAGAGCACAAAACAAGAAGTCTGATCTTAATCTGGGATGTCAGGGAAAGCTTGTAAGAATCAGAGGTGTTTCATCTGAGAAGAGACAGTTGGAAGACCCCCAATCACCACCATCACCTCCCCAATTCAGTGGATCACCAACTCCTTCAGGTCTGAGACATTAACTACTAACTACTTTTTCTGCCTTTCTGTGGCTAGCACAACACTGGTTCCTACCCTCTAAGAGTGTCATTCATAATTAATTAATTAATTAATTCACTCATTCATAAACAAGCATTCATTTAGCTTCCTAGTTGTGGTAGGCAGAAAATGGTCTTCCCAAAGATGCTCATGTCCTAATCCCCATAACCTGTGAATATGTCACATTACATGGCTAGGGGGAATTAAGTTTACAGATGGAATTACAGTTGCTAATCAGCTGATTTTGAGATTAGAAGAGTATCATGCAATATTTAGATGGGCCCAATGTAATTTAAAAAGTCCTTATAAATGGAAGAGGGAGGCAAAAAAGAAGTCACAGTCAGAAAGAGATTTGAAGATGCCATACATCTTGCTTTGAAGATGGAGGAGGATGGGGCCACAAGCCAAGAAATGCAGCCGGTCACTGGAAACTGGCAATGGAAAGAGAAGCCCTTCTCCCCTAGAGCTTCCAGAAGGAATGCAGCCCTCCTGACACCTTAATTTTAGTGCAGTGAGAACATTGCAGGATCCAAACTTCCATAACTGTAAGATATTAAGTTTGTATTGTTTTAGGAAGCTAGTTTTGTGAAAATTTGTTACAGCAGCAAGAAGATGCTAATTCGCGGGGTATCCCAGACAATTAGCACATGGTCCCTGCCCTCAAGGAGCTCACCCTCTCGTGGGAGGACTGACACATGACTATCCCCCCAAAAACAGGCATCAGGGGAGCAGGGACTCCAGTTTACATTTTGGCACTTAATAATTATTTTTAAATAAAAAAGCAAGTGAATAGACATTTCATACAGACATAAGAACTAGAATAGAATGATCTGTAAAAAAACTGGCATCACAAAGGAGGAAATGATGAGTTCAGAGAAAATAGCCAGGTTGAGCCAAGTCTAAAAAAACAAACCAATTCAAAAGAGAAAGAACCAAGGCCAATCCAGGCAGAGTGACTAGCATGTCTAAAAGCACTACGGCACGAAGAATAAAGTCTGTACAAGGATACATAAACAGGCTTCACGGCTGGGGAAGAGCATGAAGCAGAGAGGGCACTGCCAACCATATCCAGCCTGCAGGTGGGCTTTGTCTGGTTTTAGAGTGTTGATTAGGACTTATGATTTAATTGTCCACATTTGCTAACAGGGCGGTTTCATGTAAAGTCCTGCTTTCCAACATCTCTTCAAAGGTAACCACACTGGCTCACTGTCCCACAAAGCAAATGGCTACCAGAGCGCATAGTGGGCGCTCCCTTTAGAGGGACCATGTGGCCCCCAGTTTCCTATCGCTTTACCTAGCTTGCTCTCTACCTGCCAGGCTCTGGAAGGCATTGGGACCGCTGGCATAGGGATAACGGAGTGGAACTGAGCCAGATCACAGAGGACTACAAGAGTTTGGGATATTATCCAATATGTAGGGAAGATCAAAAGAAAGTGTTTAAGCAAGGTGTGACAAGATAATGAGAAACAAGCATATTCTGTGCATTATTTCATTTGATCCTCCCAACCAATCGATGCTATGAATGCTACTATTATTCTCTCCATTTTGTAGATGAATAAAATGAAGCCTAGACAGCTTAAATAACTTTATCCAAGGTCACGTGGCTAGGGTTTCAAACCCAGGAAGACAGAATCCACAACAAAGGCTCCTAACCCTACACAATACTCCCACTGTCCTGACTTGTATTTTACAAAGAGAATGTCAATAAATAAATAAATCTTGTTAATTCTACCTCTATAATATGATAACTCCCTTTCCTATTTGTCTAAAAGACTGCAAACATCTCCCAGCAAGTCCCTCAGACCTGGGTTACTGGTCCTTCTGGTTCGTCCTCGCATGGCAAGAAGAACCAGTGGCTGCTCCAGCTCAGTAACCTTCACATCTCCTTAGAAATGCCATAGACCCTGAGATGTAATCATGCTGAATTCTTTGCAAAGCTCTTCTTTTATTGATGCTCTCTCCGTTCATCCTCTCACTGGATCTTAGTCAATTCTCCATTCATAGGACCCACCCCCCCCTTTTTATTTTGCCTGCCTCATGCCAAGATCTTACGTTGAAGTCAGGTTTTGACAATTGAATTCACTGTTTCTTTATCAGAGATTTAAGTAGCTTTATGAAATATTGGTCAATAATAAAAAAATTCTAAACATCTCTATATGTCCATCTCTCTCTAAATGCTTTTTTTCCTTAAACTTTCCTTGATACAGAGACCTTGGGACTGGCCATTCTGCAATATATCAGAGCACAGGTTTATCTGGTGGGATGATGTCTTTCTAGGAAACCTCAGGACAAATGACTGTGGAGTAAGGAAAAACTGAGTTTGGATCTCAGCACATAGTGTGACTTGGAGCAAGTCAGGCTCTTTCGGCTTATCTTACACGATTGCTCTATAGATCTGATGACATAGCACAAGATAATTGCACTGTCAAGCCCACAGCAGATCCCACAAATCTAGTTTACTTCTCCTTGTTGGATTTCATTTGATTCTTATAAGAATCACATGCCGTGAACATCCTCTGTACAGATGAAGTGGTCTGAGTGGCTGAGATCCAAAGCTACACAAAGGACGCAGAGCTCAGCTGGTAACAAGGCTTTCTGGACCCAAGTTCTAGGATCCTTCCTCCACCCCCCACTGCTCCTTTACTCATGTGTAATGGATCAAAACTTGGAAGGAAGGAAACATTTACAAACACAGCCAGAGCTCCTGTCTGTGACCACAGGCTTCCGCATCCTGCCCTGGGTCAGTCTGTGAGCCTAGACTGTGGCATCTCCTACACAGCCTGGCAATTGTCTCCCCCAGTTCCAGTGTGCCCTTCTCACTTGATATTTTGATTCTGACATTCTTAGTTTATAAATATATCCACTCTATCCTTATTATAGCCATGTATATTAAAACTTAAATATTCAAAGGTAAAATATATTATGCTATATCCCTTCGGTGAAACTTTAAAGAGCCATTAAAGATGAAGAACAGTATTATACGCATGATATATAAGATATCTACTATGCTTACAACTCAGCAAAAATCAGAGAAAAGAGATTGAAAAGGCAAAAATAAACACTAAGATAGGCTATTGTTGGAGAGTTATGGACAAATAATTCAGCTCCACTCTACTTAAGTCTAGTTCTATTTTCTAAGGAAAACAGCAAATATTCCAGCAACCTTTTTGGGAATAATCTAGCAGAGTGATTGAGTTGCTGCTGAGTGACAACTGAAGATGAATCCAATCCATCCTTCAGGTGCTCACAGTTGATAAGAGAGGTGCAAGAAGAATACAGACAGCCATAGTACAGTAAGATAAATACTCACAGACCACAGCAGAGCAAGTACATAGAGCACCAGGTAAGAAGCTACTTAGCCTTGGAGGAAAACAAAGTTAGTCCCGAGAGAAGAGCACCTAGAAGAGTAGCAATTCCCCTTGCTGGCAACCTAGACAAAGCAGGCAGAGCAGAGAAATTAACATGTGCAGACACACGAGCAGGAAGAGGACAGTGTGAAACGTGGTGGACCTAGGACTCTCGCCCAGCTTGGTGTTTCCCGATTGCAGGGATGAATGGGGAGAACCCAAGAGATAAACTGGGAAGGCAGATGAGGGCCAAGCATGACTGAAGCAAGCTCAGGTTATAACTTGCCACAGAGGAAAGCCTTTCAAGGAGAGCCTGACTTAGAAAAGTCCATATTTTCTGAGTTAATAAAATGTTTTCATATCTATATAGAAAGGCAAAACCAATTTATGTATTTACATGGCTAGTTTTTAAAAAACATACATATTTTTTTCTAAGTAGAGGTTTTATAAGTAGAAGTCATGATTCTACTCATTTTAGCCCCCATCTTCACCAAGATCTGTATGTTTAAATAAAACAATGGAGTAACACATTTAAATGACCCTAAAACTTTTCATAGAAACCCAGAGGTTTTGTTAATGAACCACTTTGAAGTAAAGAGAAACAAGATCCCCTTCAAGGGAATCTATAAATAAGTTATTCTCAACAATGCGGTGCATACTAACATTCTGGGGGTCGTGGACCCAAATCAGACCTTATTCTCTGAAAGAGAGACCTGGAGTGGCTGTGAGGGCCAAAGGGTTAACTCCGGGGTCTTGCCCTCAGGTTTCAGTGCCCTATAACAAACATGAATCCAGCCAACGAACAAGCAAAAATATAGTGAAGATAAAGAATATTACACTTTCCCTTCCTTTGCTAGTTGTCTGGTTTCTCTCAGCCCTGCCCTCAATGCACAAATCATGCATGTTTTCATACAGCAATGTGCTTAGTGATTCTACAGGAAGCTGCTTCTGCCATGGATGATCCCTTGCAAGTCTGACCCATGAATATTT